GACGAAGATTTTTGTTGCTTCGTCGATGGATATCTGTTTATTTTTTTTATTGTTTTATCGTTTCAAGCGATAATTGTATACACATGCATTGTTGAAGTTTTTATAATGATCTGTTTATTCGAGATCTTAATTCGTTTCCCGAGTCTCGTGGCACGTGACGGCCAATTTTATCTGTTTCATTTCGAGCAGAGAGATATTTAAGCGTGACGTTATTCGCGTTTGATCATCGGAATCGTTACTTTTTTCTTTTTCATCGGGACGAGTAATCGGAGAATGACGTTTAACACTTTGATCCGTTTTAACACGGTATTTATTAATTTTCACCGACTGAAGTAGATCGTTTAACGTAGGATTAAATCGATTAAATTTCCCCTTTCGATATCTTTCTTCAAGAGTTTTATTCGCGATCGACGGATATGTCGCTTCTGGATGGAAGGTGGCGAAATTGACGGATTTCGAAGCGTGAGAATCACCACGTGATCGCGAGAGAACGAGCCACGCAACGTGTTCATCACTTATGTAAAAGTGTTTTTTCGAGGAAAAGAAAACGTCTTCTGCGTGCGTGCTTGGAGAACCGGAACGAAAAGATGGAGGTTAACTTGTAAAATGTACAATTTGATCCGTTAATCGGTTAAATAATAGATTAAATACATATTTTCTCACGTTATTGTAATCCTTTTTTTAATCGAACCTGTTTCTACTGTTTCATATTTCTATTCGTTTTCCTCGAATAATTGAATACAATTATGCACGTTCATTTAATACATTCAATGTCTAAATAATCGTCTGGAATAAGAAATATCACGAGTTTATTTAATTTTAAACCGGCCATTCTCTCTTTCATCGAGCTAGAGAGAAACTCGTTGAAAGATTTTCCTTTCGAACACGCGCAAATAACTCTTTCCACTCTATTTTTTAACCGACAAAAACTCAATTTTATTTGTCGTCGCCTTTACTCCGCCGTAAAAGTTTAAAAATTTCGAGTGTCTTTCGACTTTTTTTAAACTTTTTATCGTAATAGGCCGTGTCGTGACAATCGTGGACACATTAAACGGAAGGGGAATTCGAGTAACTTTTGCCTCTTCGATAAACAAATCGATCGAAATTCGATATCCGTCCAACTTTCCCTGCACGGCCTTTGATGGAAACGCGTTTTGTAACGAGATCAAGCTCTCTAAATATCAAGCGTCGCGGGTAAACATCCCCCCAAACTCGATTCGGCCGTGAACAAGGATCGAGGCATCGCCGACCTATCCACTTAAAGATTCGCGACAACCGAGTAGTCGAGCCAGAGTTCAGGCTTCCGTTCGACTTTTCGCAAGTCGATTTATCTCGCGTTTTTCGCACCGCATGCGACCAGTTCTTCGACCGGTTCTTCTTCCTCCTTTTTTATACGATTTAACCAGTTTCCAATTCGTTGGATAAACGGGATCATCCTTCGCCACTTGATACTAGGCAACTACGTTTCCACGAGTTTCCAGTGTAAACTTGGGTGTATAGAGAATATCGAGTTTTGGCTATCATTGAGAGAAGTCGATAAGAAATTGTGTATATATATCCAATAACAAAGACAATAGAGACATCTGTATTAAATAGAGGGTGATAGTGGAATAACAATCTATTACTCTTTTCTATTTCTCTTCAATATTTGAAGCGTTCTCCACACGATTAAATATGATTTAAAATAGGAAACTATTTATTATTGAACGTATGATTACTCTTACTAACAAAGGATTAAATGGAGGAGGAATCATTATTTCCTCGCAATTGTCCACGTTTCTTCGCGAGAACTTTTATGCGACGCACGTGTTTCGCTTCCGGGACGCTTTCCTTCCTTTTCACCGATGTTCTGTACACGTTTCCCTCTTTTCCCACCCTGCGGCTCGACAAGATGTCACGAGGCAGAAGGGACGTTAGAATAGAAAGGATTCTTCTTCCTCTTTCTTTCTTTTTATATATATATATATGTGTGTGTGTATATTTTTTTTTCTTCTCCAACTGAAGAGAATGAAACGTTTTCCAGGTTTTGCTGGTACAGCTGGCGCTGCTGCTGGTGGTGCACGGATCGCTGGTCGTCCTTGTTGCTGGAAAATCCAGTAAGTCTTCCGCTTCTTTGTCCCCGAGAGATAATCGCGCTTCCGTTGAGCCGCTTAGGGACCGGATGTCTCGAGATACATCCGGATGCCTCGAGATCGGCGGGAACCAGGCTAATGCCCTTCGCCGATTTGCCTCGTTATTTGCCTCGATTATCTTGGAATTTTATTTCACGATTTAATATTAATTAATCTAATTCTAATAATTGTTCTAAGTTCTATTAATAATCATTGAATAAAAGTATTATTTGAATTTATAATAAAAGATAATAAAATGATTGATATATATATGAATAAATAAATTATGTTTTAAATTAATAAAAATTAATAAAATGATATTATATGAATGTTATTATTAAGTAATAGTATATTTTTTTAAGTATACATTTATATTTTATCGAAGTATTTCTTTTATCAGGCATATTACTTCTTTTTTAAAAAAAAAATTTTAAATGCAATTTAAATGTTTTAAGTTTAAACTAATATCCAATTTATTAATTTAATTAATTCTATAAAATTCAAAATTTTATGCTCTTTGACACTAAAATAAATTAAATAAACTTTATTTATATGAAAATTTTCAATTTATCGATAGGGGATGAATATATTAGCTTTTATTAGCTTATTATATAAATAAATTTATTTATAAATTTATATAATTAATTTTATATTGAAAATATAATATTTTTTTTTTAAACTA